TGGACCCCGGAGTCTCCACTTTAGAACATGGGACAGACACATGAAAGACCACTTTGATGGACGGCTGCTGTGGAATGCTCTGGGTCAGTGGAAGACTTGTGGGAGTCAGGACCTAAATGTCGCAGGTAAAGAGTTTATATTTTATAACTGCTGCTTTGCAAACAACATGTCACTATCTCATCTGTTCTTGTGGATCATTTAAAGCATTTCAAATCAATATCAAATGCTCTATAGGTGCACAAATTGCAGCAGCAAGCCTGTGAAAAGTTTGTACCTGTCTCTCCAACATACTAAATTATCACACAGTTTTATCTCTGATAATTCTAATAAACCAGACAGAAGGCGTTAAACAACTTAATTTGCATTTCCTCCGCCTCAGATTTTGCGCATGTTAGTGAAAATGCCGAGTTTTGCAGATTCATTCACTCATGGAGCAAAGCTACTTTAGCTTCTTTAGCGTCTCTGTGAAAAATTGCACTGGGCTTTTGCTTTTTAGCAAGTGAGCAAATACTTGATAAATGAGGCCCTAAATTTATTTCCTGATAATAAACGATACAGACTTTGAATCATTACCATAAAAATATATAGTAACAATTCTCGCTCCATTGTCTGAACTCTGCTCCAAAACACAAGTTTTATTGTCAGAGGATCGGCTATGGACATCAATTTAAGAGCCCAGAGTATACCATTGATTATTAGAAATGAGTGAAAATTGCATTAGTCACTCAGCCCTACACTCCACTTCAAACTTTCGAATAAAAATACATTCCAAAATAAATTCTTGAATTGATTAATTGAAATCAACATAAGTAGTTAGCATTACCACCTTAGATCAAGAGGACAGATTTCTCTGCAGGATCAATAAAGTACCTTAACCTAGGAACTTAGGAAGGTTTTCTGAGTTTAATTTACAGGCCAGGTGGGCCCTTTTTGTGAGAACTACAATTCCTCCCATCAGACTAAAACATGCACAGTAGGCTAATGATGAGGCACTCTTGACCATGAACCAATCAGCCCATAGCTCAAGACCAGGAAAAGGGCCCCGGACTCTGTGCTGTGATCACCCACTGCTCCAGACATTCAGAAGCTTTATAGAATGGATAAAATGCAGAGAATAAATTTCCCTTATTGAAAAACCAAGTGTACCTACCTTATCATTCACATTTCCAGTCCAATATGTAGTCACAGTGAGGCGCTGATGGCTGAACTTAGCTTAAGGTGTGTTAGCCTGTAAGCTCAGTGCTACTCGCTGCTTAGTCTCTCGATTTGAAGAGTATTGGGAATGAGTTCACAGTGAGAGCTCTCGGCACCTGAGGCCAACAGCCGCAGAGTCAAAATGAATAAGATCAAGTTTAAGCGTAGGTGTGATTTGAAATAAAGTGTGAAAAACTTAATACTAATTATCACCTCTGACACCTCAGTCTATGTGACATGGGTAACACCTTAGCTCCAAAAATACCTCACAGCAAGATAATGTTATGCTAAATATATTCTTACTAAACAGAAGGCCCCATTTGACAGCAGAGTGGAACATTTCTAACATTCCACACCCCTAATTTATCAATTGCTGAAAGGACGCTAACCAGCAGCAAGATTGAGGTGCAAGGACAGTGAACCTATTCTGAAGATGATTCACACGTTTGAGATAATCATCTTAAATATGATTCACTGTATTAATGTTAGTACAGCCCCTCGTACTGATATCTGTCTAATTCTGTGACTTTTATAATGCTGCGTAAACCTCCTAGTAATGGCAAAAAGAACTTTGACCCAATAGTAACTGTGTGCATTTACTATTTAAATATGCACTATGTAACTTTTCAGGTGGAAGGTCTCTTTGGAGATGGTGTCGCTTTGCATGGTCCATAGTATTGCAATTTACTTGATTATCTCTAAGTAGGCAACGTCACCAGGTCTGTAACTTGGCTTGCTCACAATAAGAATAAATGTTTTCAAAGTATTATTAGCAATAAAACATATATTTTACACAAATGTATTATTCAAAATATATTATAAAAATATAACACTACTACTCTTTGTCCTACTGACTTTTATTCTGACCTATTGCTACTGCTAGTTTAACAGTGAGTACCGACTACCTCCTTTGTTTTTGCTGCCACCAATTGAAAACACATCTCCACTGCTTTTGCCACCATGACCACTAAAGTTAAAGATGCCTCTAAAATCAAATGTGACACTGCTAAAAAAGAAGCTGACCTAAAGCAGGAGTGATCCAGGTGAGTAAAAGTAAAACTGTGCTGATCATTCAGCTGTGACGGTGGTGTTTGCTCATGGCCATAACACCAGACAGCCAAAGGGGAACAGGACGCATTTTAATGTGTAATTCTCTGAATATTTGCTGAAAAAAATATAAATGACATGATTTTTCCTGACATGTCACAAATTGTTGAATTAGGAGCACTCATATCATGTTGTTGTTACTATGTAGGTCTAACTTGTTTATCAAATAAACTTTATCAAACAAGTTGCATAATTTTTAATCCAGCCATTAGGGGTCACTATACTCACAGCATAAGACAGCATACTTCTTGAGTTAGCCCCAAGCCTAGACAACAAGAGATGGATGGGCCAGATAGTTTTTGATTTTATGGCAAAAGATAATCACAGAGAATGCGTTAAAAATTTGTGACTGAAACACAAACATTAAAACTGACACAGCAGTATAAGTACTATTCGATCATCCTCCTAACAGACAAAATACTATTATTACAATTTAAGCAGTGATTGCAAGTCTGAGCGACTTTTGTGACAATGGAGTCTTTCTTTAATTTAAGCCTCTCACAATGAAACATTTGTCAAGTAAAGGAAATGATTGTTTTGTGTGAAACTGAATTGAACAGTAAAGTGTACAAAAATGCTATGGTGTTAAAAATGAAACAGAATTTTGATGGCTTGTCATAAGTACATAAGCAGGGACTGAATTTTAACAAAGCCTGTGTTTTTTGTCTGACATGCTGGCTCTTAAGTTAAACTCAACTCAGAGCTTTACAAATAACATCTGAAAAGTATTGTCAAATATGGCAACCTAATATTAATTTTAGTGCAGTCTGTCTGTGATATACAAGACCCATATATTTCATGTAGTTGTATCTCATCAAGCTGTTACCATGTTTGTTTTCAGGCTTTCTTTTCTATGTGTAAATACAGATAATAAGCATTACTGACTGTGTATGACATGATGTGCTATATACAGCATATGGCTCAAAACTGTTGTGATTAGAAATAGCTGTGCACAATATATTGATAAGTGATCTTAAAGTAATTTTATCCATTCACATTTGTGCTTGACATGAACCTGAACCATGGCATTTACAGGCACATAAAGCACATCTCTGATCCTCTGCTCAAATATTGTCTGAATATCATGGGGGAAAAAAAGAGATAATGATTTTTGTCAGCATCGCCTACGCCGAGAGTGAAATCACCAATTTTGTTCAAAGATCACACACTTGATACAGGTTGTAAGAATGCATTTGTCTGTGTAATCCTTCAGTCATCCAGGTACTGTCCATAGCAAAAGCAAGTTGAATTCTACCACTCAGAAGCTGCAATGATAGAGTGTCAACCTTGACTCAACATAATTACTAATTATTATGGATTAAAATATAAAACTGGATTTCTAAAGCTAAATCATTAGCAAAGTAATGTATATTTTAGTAAAATAATACATTCCCAAGCTTTTATATACACATGGAATGGAAGACATTTTGACAAAGAATGGCATTGCCTTGCAGCCTTGGCTTTGCCAGAGTAGTGCAAATCCAGCCAGTATAAATGCAGAAAATACACTTGGCTTTGAGAAAACCAATACGTGCACTCAGTATTCACACTGCAGGCGACTCATTTCAGCAGTTAACATAAAGCATCGACTCAGTGTCACATAATACAAGTATATGATGTTGTCAGGGAAAGCCCACTGTTCTTCATAACAGCAGCAGTAACCTCGAATCCTGCTTGGTGCGTTCTCTGCTTCTCCTCCCACACACCACAGCACTATGAATAAGCTTCCCACTGAATGCCAACTCTGTAAATGCCATTCTCTTTGCCCTTTATGCAACAATATTACAGTCACACAACTCGCCAAACACTAGCACTGCCAATGCATCAATATCTCATTCCTGATATTTCCAACAAATTAAGTGTGTGACTTTATCTTTGTCACACCACTGGCAGTTCTCAATGGTACTGGATTTTATGATGTTATTAAAGGCTCATTAGAATAGAGCATTTTACCAAATCTTACAAAAATATAATCTGTTGTAAAAAAATATATATATACGTATTGCTTTTATATGAGCATACTCCTGAAGTAAATTTAACTAGAAACAATACCAGCTTATAATTACTATTATCACACAACTTGTACTCCTACATGCCAAAACACAGCTGCTGCTGCTACTACTACTTGTACTAATTATACCTCTAATAATATTGCTAATACTACCACTACTACAAAATTTATTCAAAATATACATCTATTCTATGTCTCTAATTGAAGTACGGTAAAATATCATATCCAATAATGTCTGAATCTTGTAATGGATCAACAAATCTTCAACCATCAAATTAAAATAGCCTCACTAGTAGAGCTGGCAGAAGACTTTCACACTTGATTTTAATATAATACAATAGGAAAATGCTCGATAACGATTCAGTAATAAAATGAGAATAAAAAAATTAAATAAAAATTAAAAAAAAACACAGCTTTTTAGATAATAGGGTGAAATTTTCAACAGAAATAATAGTTCTTTAATAACACCAATTACAAATACAATACCAATTTCAATTTTGTCCAATTAATGTGATCAGAATCAATACTCCTTCAAATAGGTATCTAGTTTTATTATTGACTAGTGTCTGGGTATATTTTTTTGAACAATCCTACTGGCAAACCTTTTTATCTGAAATCCAGCAGCAAGTAGAGACAAAAACACATAAATCCAGACCAAACTTATTTCAGAAATGCCTTGCTTTCTTACCTCATTTTTAAGTTGCCAGGCGACGGTTGCCCATCGTAGACTGACACAATATCAAAGTCCTCCTCCAGCGCCAGTGTGACAAAGGTGAGCTGGATCCTGTTCCTCTCGCCCGTGATGATGAGCCACGTGCAGTTGGCGTAGTTGGGGTAACCGTGAGGGAACCCGGGCGACTCTATGGTCCCATTCAGGCCTTGTACTACACCTCCACATGATTGAGCTAGAAGAGAAGAGAATATAAGAACATTTTAAGTTCACTTCAGATTATTAACAGAGGACCTTGCTTTTAATTGCATCACTTAAGTTTGTGCTAAGTGCTAGGACATGTGTTGCTGCTGTAACAAGCCTGCCCTCCCATGCAATTCTATGATTACACAATGTCACACCTCCTCTTATGATTAGCTATGCCTAGATGTGAAGAGCTAGCAAATTGATATTTCTGGTATCAAGAGAATTCTCAAAATTTTGCGTGCTGTATTGTTGATACATCTCAGGCCAATAGGTTTTGTTCATGGGACATTATAGAATTCTTATTCATTATTATTCAAGGGTTTCAAGAAGGAGTTCTACTTATTCCTTGTTGAGCTGAAGGTTTTGACAGGACAATGGTGTTATAGCAATAATGCAATTCAAATCAAATATTATATCTTTTAAATAACGAAAGGTCCTTACAAAATCATTCAATTCATTTTCTTGAAAACCATGAATAGTTTAAAACTGAGCTGCAGATTTGTTGATCTGGTTTATGGCTAATTTCTGGACCACATGAAACCAAATACTGGATCAAACAAGTCTTCCGTCAGCTTAAATAAACAAATTATTTTTTGCTTTTTGTTTTAACTCACAGTAATTTCAAAAAGTGGTTCCATTATTTGACCCTAATATTCTATCAAAGAAATGTTTCATAGTGTTAGTCTTCCATCTGAAAAAAAACATCAAATTCATGATTGTGAACATAACCCATAGTGTCCCATGACACTTACACTAGTCACATTCATATTTAAACAAGTACACATTACTGTTGTTTTAGCGGCATGGGTCGTGAGAATGCATTACCTTTTAGACCATTCAAATCTCCTGACACTGAGCACTCAAACAAACATGTTGAAATAAGAGCACTTATAGCACTCTGCATATGGCATGTACAAGAACGCGTGACACTCTGTGCATTTTAAACAAGGCTAAGACAGCGAATCTTTCATATCATTTACTCCCACAGTAACACAAAAGTATATGGACTAAATAACTCTAAAGCTAGACCAAATAGAAGTGGGCATTACACAAACAAAAACAAATGTAATGCTAATAATGATATGCTTTGTCAGTTTGTCAGTTTAGTCAGGTCAGCTGTCATGAGTTTCTTAAATGATAATGAACAATGATTAAAAATGTAATGTAAACAATAAGACATTTTAAAGAAAGAATGTTTTTTCCCCACTTCTATAATTGCACTGTTTTTTTCCACCCTGAAAAATACTTCCAGGAAAATACTTAACCAGCTTGGTCCTAAGATAACCTATACTGAACAGACCATGTGCGCACGTGTGTGTTTGTGTGTGTGCGGCCTGTATTGAAGCCAGCAGTAATTGTTTCTCAGATAGCGATGTCTATTGATTTATTAACCTTATATCATTGAGAACACTGTGTGCAAGAGTGTTTAAAGGAGCAAACCCTAAGCTCCCCAGTGACCAGTATATTCCAGTTCACAATCAGCGCTGACCAGAAGTGTGTGTCTCTATATTGGAATAGGATCACTGCACAAGCACCAGATGTTCTTATTTGTCTGAAGTAAGACTAAACTCACAAACACACATTAAATAAATACCTCAACAACAGAAGTCCACATGAGCGGCTAACATGCATGCTCACATACTCCCAACCATCTGGACGGTACAGATTCATTTCAGATTCTTCTCCATTCTCTTTCCAGCCCAATTCACCTCTCCCCTTTAGCTCTCTTTGTGCTTCTTCCTGTCTCCAGTCGGCTTTTGGAGCAGATGGGAGAAGTCCAAATCAGCACATTTTTGCAGTGCAGGCTAACACAATACTTAGCAGAGCTGTAAATACGACTTAGTTTTGCTTAGTTGTGAATACATAAGTATCTGGTGTCTACAAGTGATGAGTTATACAAATTAGGCATAACAATATAGGCAATATAGACCACTTGCTAAAAGTTTGGCTCCACACACAACTAAATACTAATGAATTCTCACACTTTTTTATCAGAACCAGCTAAAAGGGCCCATATTACTCTATTTTCTGATCTATGGTATAATGTTATTTCCATATCACAAACTAGAGTTGTGTTTGGTTTTAGTCACACATGTTTAACATTCCACCTTGTGTTGTCAGGAAATGCTCCACTCTGTTTGTAAAACTACACAGCTGCCTGACTAACAAGGCTGCCAATCTGCGCCATCGGCCTTCTGACCACCACCATCACTCACGCACACACTACTAGGCAATGTGGGTGAAGTGTCTTGCCTAAGGACACAACAACAGTTTTTGCCCCACTGTTTTTGAAGAGGTTACAGCATTATAACTTGACTTAAAGCTCACAAGAGTTCATTTTGCATGATATAAGGCCTTTAGGTATGAGTAACATTTTTGAGTTACATTATGAATACAAGACCACAGTCTTTGCTCTCTGTGTGTATCAAATGTTACCAGGAGAATACCCCAGAAGTGTTGCAGATTTGAAGATCAAACCCAGTTATCTAATTATGAAAATCCTTACATTCACACTTTTAACACCAACGTATAATTACAAAATGTCCAATTACTGTCAACAATATTCCATTCACAACAGGTGCACAATTAAGAGATGATCTGTTGACAATGTTATGCCTGAATAAACAAAATCAAAAACTGCACTAAAATTTGCTCCTGCTAAATTGTCTGTGTTTGTTAAGGGCACCAGTAAATTGAATGCAACAAATGCTTTTCTCCCACATACAAAGTGCAGTATAGCAGCTGCCTGGCACAAACAGGTGCTGTCTATTGTCTGAATGATCAGCACTTGCCAACTAATGTGATGGAAAAGGTTAGGGACATGGGTTTATGGGGTAATTTTTGTCTAACGGTCTGCCTGGTTGTCGTGGAAACAGATAAGACGGACTGTAGATCGTCACAAAACGCAGCAGGAGTAATTACTCATGTTTTTGTCCGCTGTGTCCTCCTGTCACTCAAAGTGCAACCCTCTCGGGACTTGCATTTAAATAAAGTTCTGTTGTGTTTTAGTAGAGGCAGCTTTCTACAAACAAAACAGTGGCAAAATAAGTATGTAGTAGTATCAGGAGTAGTAGTAGGAGTAGTAGTAGTAGCAGTAGTAGTAGTAGCAGTAGCAGTAGCAGTAGTAGTGGCAGTAGTAGCAGTAGTAGTAGCAGTAGCAGTAGTACTAGTAGTAGTAGCAGCAGGAGTAACAGTAGTAGTAGCAGTAGTAGTAGTAGTAGTAATAGCAGTAGTAGCAGTAGTAGTAGTAGTAGCAGTAGTAGTAGCAGCAGTAGTAGCAGTAGCAGTAATAGTAGTAGCAGTAGCAGCAGTAGTAGTAGCAGTAGTAGTAGTAGCAGCAGTAGTAGTAGCAGTAGTAGTAGTAGCAGCAGTAGTAGTAGCAGTATTATCCTAACAGTTGCAGTAGTAGTAGCAGTAGTAGTAGTAGCAGTACTAGTTGTAGCAGTAGCAGCTAACAGTAGTAGCAGTAGTAGTACCAGTAGCAGTAGCACTAGTAGTAGTAGTAGTAGTACCAAGAGTAGTAGTAGCAGTATTATCCTAATAGTAGCAGTAGTAGTAGTAGCAGTTGTAGTAGTAGCAGTAGCAGCTAACAGTAGTAGCAGTAGTAGTACCAGTAGCAGTAGCACTAGTAGTAGTAGTAGTAGTAGCAGTAGCAGTAGCAATAGTAGTAGTAGCAGTAGTAGCAGTAGCAATAGTAGTAGTAGCAGTAGCAGTAGTAGCAGTAGTTGCAAGTAGTTGAAATCCTTGAAAATATAGGTGTACAATACATCTTACATATATATACTAGGGCCGGGCACATTAACGCGTTAACTTTGCGTTAACTAATTAAGTCATTAACGCCGACAATTATTTTAACGCTGTTAACGAAGTTTTTATTATTTATTTATTTATTTTATTATAAACGTCTGTTTCTCACTGGCTTTTATTTTTAAAAAGTCCACCACGAGCGTTTCTTTAAGTTTGACATCTTTTCTTTACACTTTTTTCACTTTTTTCTGACCACGTGAGATGTAACATGCCCTCCGCGAGCCGCGGGCCCCGGCCGCGGGCTCCGGACGTCTTTTCTTTACACTTTTTTCAGTTTTTTTCTGACCACGTGAGATGCAACGTGCCCGAGCCTCCGCCAGCCGCGGCCTCAGCCGCAGGTTCAGCTGCGGGCACCGGCTCTGAGCTGAGCTTATTTCTTTAGTTCAGTGCTGGACTAACTGATTTACCCAGATACCATTGGAAGAAAAAAATGTGATTGGTCCATTTCCATTCCATTATATTAACCCTTTGTTTCCTAAGAAATATCAATCCACGTTTATAACACTGATCTAGAAATTATTAATAGTGTAGTGTTTATTACTCACAGCATAAAAAATATTCAATAAATATAATAGTAGTACAAATGTCCATTCAGTATTTTTTCTTGAGCCTTTCCTGAATACCTTGAAGGCTCTGAGGGTTCCCCTGTGAAAGAAATGCTGTTCATTTACATTTCCAATAAAAGAGCGCTATACTCTACTTTTTAATTCATTAATTGGTTTTGCGTATAACATGCGATTTATCACGATTAATCGTGATTAATCACTCAAACTCATGCGATTAATCGTGATTAAAAATTTTTATTTTTGCCCAGTCCTAATATATACATATTCAAAAATCAATAAATCATTAATCAATCATTAAAAAAGATTTATAAAAATATACACAAAAAGAAAAACCTCCCCCATCCCGGTCTAAAGCCTCAACCAAGCAATGGCCTGCTACAAAGTTGTTGGAGGCATTCAGTGAAAACTTACCATAAGGTAAATGCATCACTGCATACACTGGCTATAGAAAGTTCTAGTTGGGCTATATCTAAAAGTGTAGACAGACAAAACAAAAGACAGTGTAGCGGGTTCCAGTGTGCGGCCACCTCTTTGCTGCTGTGAAGCCTTTCCATTCAAAGTTCCATATTCATAAACAACATGGTCACAAATGAACGCACAACCAGGGAAAACACAT